GTTCCTGACGTTTGTGCTCTATTTGTGTAAGATTTCAAATATCAGTTTCCTCTTTTCATATGGCTATCTCCAAATCTAGAATATCGTAAGAGGGAACAGGAAGGTTTCGTTTCACCAGGAGCAGCACCAGTAACGGAACTGCTTCTCTCAGACGGGCGGACTCTGGCTCCCTGAGTTCCCCGAGCTGGCACTCCCCTCTCAGGCTGTGCCAACCATGTGAGGAAAAGGCTTAAATATTTCTGTTCATAGCACACAAGTGGACTTTATAGAGACAGGCTTTCTCATTTTAAAATCGAAGTCCTGTCCTGGGGAAAGTTTTAATAACATGAGGGAGTTATTGTGAGTCGGAAAAATAAGTCATCTCATATGGTTTCTATGGAAATAAATAATTCATGTAAATGCACGAAACAGAGCCCTAATTCTGTGACAGTAAATGTCATTTGCTCTTGTTTAAGTAAAAAAGTGAAGTATTTCCTGCAGTTCAGGGTGCCTGGCTGGCTCATTCAGAAGAGCGTACTGGATCTCTGGGTCGTGGGTTTAAGCCCCACATTGAGCATAGAGCTTCCTTAAATAAACAAACAAACTTTAAAAAGTATCTATTGCCGGGGCACCTGGGTGGCTCAGTGGGTTAAGCCTCTGTCTTCTGCTCAGGTCGTGATCTCAGGGTCCTGGGATCGAGCCCCATGTCGGGCTCTCTGCTCAGCGGGGAGCCTCCCTCCCCCCTCTCTGTGCCTGCCTCTCTGCTTGTGACCTATGTCTGTCAAATAAATAAAATATTTAAAATATATATATATCTATTTCCTACAGTTACGAGTACTCACCAACTAGCTGTTGCCTGATCGGCCACAGCTCACGTTGCCTCAGACAGCTAGGGCTGTTCCTCATTTTATCACAGACATTGTGTTCTTTACGTGCTGAGGATTTGTGGCAAACCCTGCGCTGAGCAAGTCTGTTGGTGCCGTTTTCCCCACAGCATTTGCTCACTTCATGCCTCGTGTCATATTGTGGTGGTTCTCATAGAACTTCAGACGTTCTCATTGTCACTAGATTTACTGTGATGATCCCCGATCTGTGGTCTTTGAGTACAAGTGTAGTTGCACCCGTGAGCCGCGCCCACGGGAGCTGGTGAACTTCGTAAACATGGTCTCTGTGCTGGCCGCTCCGGGGACTGGCCATCCCCGCGTCTCTCTCGCCCTCTCCTCTGGTAGGCCTGTTCCTGAGACAACAACATGGAGATTAGGCAGTTAATAACTCCACAGGCACCCCTCTGTTCGGGTGAAAGGAAAAGTCCCACATCCCACTTTAAATCGGAAAGCTGGAAACGATCAAGCGTCGCGAGAAGGCGGGTGGGAACCCAGACAGGCGGCAAGCCAGGCCTCCCGCACCCACAGCCACATCGTGAACGCAAGGAGAAGTTCTGGAAGGAAATCACACGAGCTTCTCCGGGATACGCAGCCGGTAGGAAAGCGAATCGGCCTTCTTGCCGACGCGGAGAGCGTGGTTCTGGTCTGGATAGAAGATCACAGCGGGAACAGCTTTCTCTCGAACCAGAGCCTCACCCAGAGCAAGGCCCGCGCGCTCTTCAGTTCCGGGACGGCTGGGAGAGGTGAGGAAGCCGCGGGAGAGCAGCCGGAAGCCCCCGCCGCGGTCCCTGAGGCTGCAGGGAAGGGGTCGTCTCCAGACCGTGCCCGTGCAGGACCTAACGGCAGTGCTGTCGTCAGAGCTGCCGCGGTTCTCCAGAGGATCGAGCTCAGGTCACTCACGAAGGCGGCTGCACCAAGCAACAGGTGTCCCGTGTAGACGAAACAGCCTTGTACGGGGAGGAGACGCCATCTAGGACGTCGGCAGCTGGAAAGAAGTCGGTGGCTGGCTTTAAAGCCTCAAAGGACAGGCTGACCCCTTGTTAGGGGCTCCCGCAGCTGGTGAGGGTAAGATGAGGCTGGTGCCCACGGGCCGTTCTGGAAGTCCTAGGCCCTGCGGAATCACACGGAATCTTTCTGCCTGAGCTCTATCAACAGAGCGAGAGCCTGCGCGACCGCCGTCTGCTTATGGCCGGACTCACTGAATGTTTTAAGCCCACTCTTGGGACCTCCTGCCCGGAAGAAAAGATCGTTTTGAAGTAGGACCGCTCACCGGCAGTGCACCTGGTCACAGGAGCTCTGATGGGGACGACGCGGAGGTTTAGGCAGATCTGTGGCCAGGAGATCAAGGAGTAGCCTCCACGGTCAAGTCGTCTTATTTAAGAAGGTGATAGCGGCCATGGGTAGGGAGTCCTCCGATGGAGCTGGGCAAAGCCAGCTGAAAACCTTCTGGAAAGGACGCATCGTCCTAGATGTCTTGAAGAACATTTGTGGTTCGTGGGAAGAACCCAAAATGTGAACAGTGACAGGAGTTTGGAGGAAGGGGATCACCCCCCTGGATGGTGGAGGGGCTTAGGGCGTCCGCGGAGGGCATCCCCGCAGATGTGAGGCCAGCAGCAGGAGAACCAGAGCCCCAAGCGGAGCCGGAAGGCGGGACCGCACTGCCGCGAACTCGGGCTTGAGCTCACGGCTGAGGAGGTGCCGCGTAGGGAGGAGCGGAGGACGCACTTCCCAGAGATGGAGGCTGTGAAGACGGGGAAAGACAACAGAGGATCTAGAACCTTCCATGGCCCGAGTCGCACGGCGGCAGCCGGGTTTGAGAGGACGGACGCCGGCTTCGGAGGCAGTTCTGCGGGTGAGATGCCATCAGCTTCACAGGCTGTGGAGAGACCGTTCCGTGAGAGGAAGGGGCAGTGATGTGGTTGGTATTTTTTAGCAACAAAGTATCTTTTAATTCAAGTATGTACATGGTGGGGGTATAGCTCAGTGGTAGAGCATTTGACTGCAAGTATGTACATGGTGTTTCAGACCTAACGCTGCTGCAGGCTTAATCCTCCAGAGCGTGGTGTAGACACAACTTGGATCGCCGCCAGGAGACCACACAGACCATCTACCTGCTTTCCCTTGGCATCGAGAGCCCCGCGCGATAGCCCCGCCTGTAGTTCTGTAGTTCTGCCTGTAGTTCTGCCTTCTGAGCCGGGAGTTCCTCGTCTGTGAAACCTCTTCTCTCCCTTGCATTGTTACTACGGCGTTCCTTGAGCAAGTACTTACTGAATGTCCAGTACACACGTGACTGTCCCAAGCACGTACTTAATCTTTATAGTCCCTGTACGAGGTGGCTACCCCTTTTCCAGCTAAGAAATGATGGGTTTGGAGATGTTGCATGCCTTGTCCAAGGGGCATGGCCACTGTTCACAGTCAGTCGTGCAGGGGCTGCATTTCCTCCCACCTGCGTGTCCTGTTCCTACCCAGTCACAGAGAGAGTAGGGGAAGCCGACAGCCCAAGGCCTCCGTCCTCCCGGGGCCTGGCATTCGGTGGGAAGAAGCAGAGGTGTTCCAATGTGTAGGAACGGAGCGCGGATCTATACAGTATTTTGTTTCTCGAACTGGCTACGTTTTCAGTGGCAGTGCCGCGGTGCAGGCCCGGAGGGAGCCTCCGGACCGCAGTAACCCCGGACAGCGCGCACGCTGGGCAGCTCGAGCCGGGAGTTGTCAGATGCTCGAACCCTCGGACTCAGAAATCCCATCCTTAGAAACCTGTGCGACGGAAATAGGGATGTCGTGAAACACTGCCGCACAGAGGTCTACATCCACAGCCTATTTACACAGTCGAAATTTTGAAAAGGGCCGCGGCATTCAGCAGACAGAAGTGTTTCCTTCACGCGACCCTCTGTGCGGTGCCGGCTTGGTGTGCAGTGTTCATTTGTCTACTCCTCCCATGAGGCCCGGGCAGCGGCTACCAGGACGGCGCTGTTTCAAAGCGGGAGAAACTAAGGTCCAGGTCCCTCAGCTTTGAAAGGGCCGGAGCCTGAGCCGACCCCAGGCTGCCTGACGCCAGAGCCCGTTCACCTCACTGTCCGTTTCCGTGTGTGACGGCCCTCACGCCGGGGGGGGGGGGTACTGCAGCTTATTAACCTGGTTATGACCAATTTCCATTATATAATGTTACATAAAGGATAGAAAATTCTATGGCATGTCTTCATTTTTGTAAACAGACGTTTATAAGAAGCCAGATAAACTTCATTGCTTTCTCACCTCTTCTCCCCACCCCACTACACCGCCACCCACTAGCGCTTATGGGTTCTGTCCTCCGTGCTCAGTGCCGGGCCCTCGCAGGTGTAGGGTGGGCAGGACAAATCAGACATTCTCTGTCGAATGAGGGAAGTGATTACTGCGGGATTCCTGCCACAGAGAGGATCTCTGTAAGATTGAGCAGACTGGCAGAGACCGAGAAAGGAGCCATCCTGTCTGGAGAGGCCTTGGGAAGTGCCCCCTGAGAAGGGGTCTGGGGCCGGAGCACACCGGCAAAGGGGAGGCGGGAGTCCGCGTGGCCGTGGAGCGGGTGTCGGGCAGGCGGGAGGCCACCACACATCCTGGGCTTCAGGAGGAACAGACCTTCTAACACCTGCTGTACTGTGACCGCATGTCACCTCGTCGGTCTGTTGCGGGGTTCACGAAATTCACATTCTCTTATTCGTGGTAGACCCAGCTTTATCCGCGGGGCTCTGAATCGTGGATGCGGTGGGCGGGGAAAGGGAGTGGTGCGTGACTGGACCCCGCTGCTTCGGCTATACAGCCAAGGGCAGACCCGCCCCACTCTGCCAGGAAGCAGCACCCGGGGTAGAGGCCTCTCTGTCAAGGAGAAACCCTGTGCGGTGCTAGGAGGAGCGGAGAAGACAGGCTTTTCTGGGCTGCGTGCGGCCGCAGGGCCCTCCTCTTTGCTCTGCACATGTGGCTTTGCCGCGACGACTGACCTGGGTTTGTCCTCGTGGGGTTTGAGGATTTTTCTGAACTGGGGAACTTTCAGCCGTGCTTATTCAGGGGATGATGATGTTGTTTGAGGAAGGAACCAAATGCAGAATATGTCCGTGATTCTCCAACCAGGAGTGAAACTGTCTGGTTTTGTTTTCTCTGCTTTAGAAACCCGACGTCCGGCTCTCTCGAGGCAGTATTGACAGGGAGGACGGAAGCCTCCAGGGCCCGGTAAGCAGCGGTCAAGTTCTTGCCAGGATGGACGGGGCCATCGCTTTGTGCATAAGATACCCACACTCAGTCACCTTCGTAACCTGGAACACATGAATCCGTTCTTTAAGTAAAGCGAACATTTTGGCCCAGATCGTTGGCAGCCGTCGTGCACAGCCCGGTGCGACGCTCCCGGGGCTCTGTGCTCCCCAGAAACCCGCGTGCGTGCTGCTAGCATGTGTAAGCTGTCCTTCACTGCATGTTTGCACTCTTAGGGTGTGCTAATATGTTTCCATGTCACAGGACACTTATGTAGAATTTTTTTTTCCTCCGTGTGTTGTAGGGGGAAGTGCCTGAAATTCTCTTTAAAGAGCTGGCTTACGGTTATTTGAAATATGTTTAAAGCCTGCTAGAAATATTCCCTAATCTTTTAGGGAGAGTAGTTTAAATCATTTCATTAAGATTTCCATCAGCAGAAGTTTGAGTAAAATACAAGCAGATTTCTCTAAACGTGTAAAGAAGTTTCCAGGACAGGAGAGAGGCTGGAGCCGCCGAGTGGCGGAGCTGTGGAGATAAAGCATCCGCCTCCCCACGCTTCCGGGTTTACTTCCAAACACTCATACGTGTGTGCCCAAGGCTGGGTCCTCACCCAACCCCGAGATGCACCACGTGGAGTGACCTACCGGCAGTTTCTCGAACCCGTGCTGTGCAATCCAGCTGCCCCTGAGATCTGGCCCCAGAGGATGTGCTCGGTCACCAGCACGGGAAGATCTGACCCCTCCCGTCAGAGTGTGCTGGCACAGTGGGCTCTGGTTCACGAGCACGAAGTCCCATTACCTGCCATTGAACGTTCCACACACTCCGCTCCTTCCTTAGATCGAGAAGGGGAACCGGTAGTCGTCCTCACTTGGTAGGACTGAGCCTCCGCGTGAAGGTAAACCCTGTTCAAGGGACTGGGTGGTTCTGTTAGAAAAGGGAGGTGCTGTGTGTTCCTGTGCGTGGCACAGAGCAGGCCCCCAGAAAGCCCATGGACTGGGAGAATCAGGGAGTGAATCAGACGTGGCTAGAAGGTTCTAGAGAAATGCTCTGTGGAGCGGACGACATGGGACAGGTCTGCTTGCGGCCTTGTCGCCCAGGCCTAGGCAGCAGCGGGAGTGCTTAGTGTGACGAGAAAGTGCCTGGTGCTGCAAGGTGCCGTGCTGAGTGCTGTCCTCACGCCTCCTCCCTGAGGCTCAGGCCTGTTGCCATCCACACCCTACAAAGGGGTAAACTGAGGCTTGTGGAAAACTTGCTCAAGGTGACCTGTCTCCGTGCCAGACCCCAGCCTGTGCACTGGCGAACTCGACGGCTCCCTGCGAGGGCTGTGGTTCAGGTTGTGGTCGCTTTGCGCCGGGAGGCCGGTGACACACTGACGGTCCTGCTCTTCCTGTCCCGGCCTGTGCTAAACTGCGGTAACAGTGTGACCTGGCCCGCTTCTTGAAATGTTCCAACTTAACACTTGGAAAATGTGCCTTGGCTTCAGGGAGAAGTTGTTCAACTGTTCGGGGCTCTGGTTTTCTGACGCGTTAGCTGAGGCCAATAAAATGGCTCATACACGTGCCTGGACGGGGGCGGGGGTCGTCACAAGGGGAACCTGCTGTCAACGTGCATGTTATTTTGAAAATCCAAATGGTTTTCGCTTTTCATGCAAGTTGATGGGGTCAAGTTGCAGTAGCCAGTGATTATGGCTTGTTCACTAGCTCTTGCCTACTTCAAATCTAGTCTTCTCCGAGGTGCAGGGCCAGTAGCTAAATGGGCCGCAGGACAGAAGGCGCCCGACTGCACACTCGCCGATCAGACTTCTGGGGTAGGGACTCGCCCGTGCCTTCCCTCCCAGAGTGACCTATGGAATGCCCTAACAGTGCATCGTGCATACGCTTGCTGAATCAACCCAGAATGTCCTTACGATAGAATTTTCTAGTTAGTTGAATTTTCTTGTAATCTGGCTATCAGCCAGAAAATTCTTTGTGTTTGAAGTCTTTTTAAATGTGTGCGTTTTACTGCCTGGATCAGTGAGCACAACACAGCTCACAGACTGCTCCACTTCTGGAGGTTGGCCGTGTTTCCTGGGGTTCTCCGGCCCCACTCACCCTCCACCTCCCCTGGCCCCAGTTCCTCCCATGCTGCTTGCTCCTCCTGGGGGACCCCCGTCTCTGGGCCTCTCTCCTCCCAGATTTCTTCACGGCGTCCCCCACCCAGGGTGTGCCAAGGTCACGTTCTCAGAAGGCCTGATCTTCCCACCGAGACCTGCCGTGTCCTCCCCTCCCACCCCGACCCGTGGCCCTTTGCCACCCGGCTTGGCGACGTGCTGTCGTGTGCACCTGCTGTCACTGTGTCACTGCCTGTGTTACACTGGCCACTCCGTGGGCAGGGGTGGGGGGGCGCTTGTTCTGTGTCCGGAGCAAAGCAGGTGTTTGGTAACTGTCGGGTTGGCTAGGCTGACTGGGGATTGCTGCGCAAAGTCAGCGGCAAGGACCCCTCATCCTTCACGCTAGCCGGCTCTGAGC